TACTGTCTTCACGATCACTAGGCCTATTTTGTGTTTCTCTCATGGTATTTCGTTAGCCTTGTAAAAACAGGGTAAGCTGCAAACTGACGGCAAACGACGGGTAATCGTGTATTGTTAATGGTCGACGCTGATTTGATTCAAGGTGTCTGGTCAATGAAGTTTATACCGTAGTGAGAATGTTTCTTCAAGTTGAGGGCAGATGTTTTGTGTGCAGTGGTGCGGTGCTAGTTCATGAGGCCGACATGTTTTTGACAAGCACGCGATTGCTGTTGTGAAAGGAGAAGCACCGCGCTGCATCATCGGACATTTACCCCAAGAGAACTCGAAGATATTTCATTTCTTTTTGAAACACAAGGAAATATTGATTTTCAAATAGCCAGCAACAAACGAAGGAACAGCAAAATAGCAGGAGGCCTGGAGATACCAAGGGGTATTCGTAAAAAAAAATTTACAAATTCGTAAACTACTGTAGATCAGGTGTCAGTTCCCACTACCTAGCCTAGCTATCCTCTGCCATTGATATAGGCGACCAGGTAGTACGAACCAACCGACAGTGCAGCAGCGTGGTCTACCGCAATAGTGGTAGACTACTAGGACCTAGCTAAATTTACCTTCGATAAAAACCAAATTATTTTTATCGCTAGCATTCTCCCATTTAACACAATATTGTTTTATTTCTCATTAAAGTATCTGTATACTTTAAGGAAATTTCTGTCATGTTATGTTTTTTTTTTCAGTTTTTAGATCACTGAATTGTGTTGTTTACATTCACTTCGCGAAAATCTAGCTTCGTGGTGTCAAATAAGTTGACTTCAACACACTTTTTTATTTCGTCATTGTAAACCTGTGCGCTCATTTTAACGACTGGCGTTGGTGGTAGTTCGTTAGCGACTATTATAGCAGAAATTGAAAAGATTGAATTATCAATAAATAAATACAACAAATCATATTTTATTATTAAGAAAAATATACATTATCACTTTGAAAAACGTGCGCAATCGGACTTTTTAACATTATTACTTGGTCGATGATGCAAAGGTCATTTGTAATATCGACTATTCGTAAAACGGACGTTTGCTGGGTTTTTACCCATAATATTATAAATAATTCTGAAAACCAGACTAACGAGACTACTTAGCTGCTGTTGTTAGCATTGTTGGAGTACGTTGTTGCCAGCCAGAAGATGATAATGGTGGTACAACACAACAACGCTGGCTTATCATGTTCTTGTAAACCTAGTCAACTTTACCATTAAGCAGGTTAACCGTTATTCTAGTAAAGTTATGACACTTAACAATAAGCGACTTAAGCCTTTATCTAGCTATAATTGACTGGTTCACGTCAAACTTTTAATTATTTAAGTGGATCAATATCTAGATAAAAGTTTGACATGAACCAGGGTATCGTCTTACTTGATGGAAGCACTACGTATGCGTATAACTAGGCAAATCTCCATGGAATTTTGGAAAAGTGGGTATTGATTGATCATAGAAAAAAAAACTGATCGATTGATTTAACTGATTGATAGAATTTATATCATTGTTTTGGATTGGCAAACTGATGATTTCGTGACAAGGACCAGACCATTTGATCGACAGCATTACATCCAAAACCTGGTTACAAAACAAACTAAAAATATAGAGGCCAGAGTTGTGTAAATTAAGGACGGACAGAAAAAACATTTACTTTAATAATCTTTTTTTAATAAATTGATGTTAGCGGGAGGATCTTTTAATTTGAAATAAAAATTAAAAGACAACATTATGTTTGAAGAGTGAAAACGAAGACCGCTGTCTTGATTTACTGTAGGCATTTAAAAATGCACAGTGCAACCTACTGTAATTGTTATTAAACAATAAGAATGTACAGTACAATACATTGAGTGCGGTGACTGAGGGCTAGCTGCCTTTTTGTCTAGGCATGGACTCTGTGAAAAAAACTGCTTTTAATGCACCTTCCAACCTTGCAACCAAATAATAATAGTTGTACCATGATGGAGGAATATTTAAAATTACACAGTTACCGTACTACTGTAGTCTTATTAAAACTCCTTACAGAGCATTTGGATTTTTCAATAATCAGTGATGTGCTTACTTCCCCTCCTGATGTGTCTGTCTGGGTAGAAAAAGGTATTGTAAACAGAAGTGTATTTGGGGATGGGAAGAACCTTTAATTTTTTAAAAATTTATATAAAAAAAAATAAAGTTACAATGAAATCGATTGTCTGAAAGGGCCATTTCCAGCCATCTACAGTATCTGTAATGGTGCCATAAAGTTGAGTACCTCTGCCCCAGTGGTGGGGCTCAGGTTGTCTGAACCTTCAAAAACTATCTGCTTTACTATACTACTGTAATAGTCTTATTTGTAGAGAAAGATAGTGTTACTGTGCTATACAGTACAAGTAACGATTGCTTAAAAATATTAAAAGTAATTTTTTGAATACTGTAAGTTTTTGAACTCATCGTGTTACAGTATACAGTCTGAATTATTTTACAAGGTTAATGCCACAAATTTCTTTGTCATACTTTGTGAATTTTATGAATAATAAATGTATTTTGCAAATATTAAGAAAGTCACTTTTTATTATAAAAGAAAAATCCCAAGGGACCAGTTTGGCCACATAAAACCACAATTATGTGGGGTTAGCTATCTCTGGCACATGCTTGAACATTCTGATAATGGCCAGTGAAGCATGATCCATTCATAAAATAGGTAGAGATGTAATTACCATGTTTAACAATCATTCTTGACACATTCTTTTACATACAATTTTAGTATTTTGTTTTGTAAACATTATTGACTAACTGGTGCACTTAATTGATTATTGAGCACAGTAAAGAAATAAAAGTAAAGTATTGAGCTGTTATTAATTTAAATTTGACACGTCATTAATTTTCAATGTTAACCATCCCTAATTTGAAAGTCTATACTACCTGAAACGCAGCCACATGATACTTCAAATTTATTGGATAGTCTAATTTGTTGCATGCTTCAGTAACTTTATGACCTAAGATTCGGCTTTCAGAAATCTGTTTTTAAAATATAGAATTTTATTACTGATTAAGATGTTTTTAAAATAATATAAAACAATATAAAGATACTGTATGACCATGAGAATAGAATACACAACAGAAGGACCCCCCAAATCAGACTTCCATGGATTTTTGTTGGCTTGTTTCAAACTGAAAAAATTCAATCCAATCTTTGTTGTCTATTGACCTTGATATGAGCATGCATGGTTCGATCTAAAATTTATTATTTAGGGCTCAAGTGTATATTTCTTTTAAGTACACATTAGGCTCAAGGTTACTCTAGGACTTGCCTAAGGTAGTAGTAACCTTATCTCATTATCTATATTTATTGTTTGAACAAAATCTCTGTCATTTAACCAAGATACTATATAAACACTTAAATTTTATTGTTCATTATGTAATCTTACAGACTAGAGATATCACCGATAATCCATGATACTTAGCTTAATAATTTCCATAACTGGTCAGTATGTTTATTTTATAATTTTCTGATGAAGAGTGGGAGTACCCCGCCCAGCATGTCTTGTGATCATCATAAAAATTCAATTCAGATAGTGTAAGAAAGATAATGTATCCAAGCTGTAAAGTACAGTATCATCTCCAGTGAAATTAAAAGGTGTCCTGTATTACAACAGGGTGCAGGTCAACTCGGTCACAAATCAACTCGGCCACAAGTCAACTCGGCCACAAGTCAACTCGGCTACAAATCAACTCGGCCACAAATCAACTCGGCCACAAATCAACTCGGCCACAAATCAACTCGGCCACAAA